GAACTACCGAATCTTCAATGAACTATGAGCATAGTGTTACACTTTTTTTATGGTTTGTCAAAAGAGACAGCGTTCTATAGAGATTGATGTCGAGTACTCAGTACTCATTAGCTGAATATGCACAGAAAAGTTCACCGAGGTAGCGTCTCTAATTTCCATCAATCTATAAACCGAGAGAGCAGATGATGCCTTCTTCGTCTAATCGTATGGTCGTATACGTTTACAGTCAGGTGCTCGAGTTTAGACTTCGAAAAGAAATATGGCATCATTGTTGTTTGCTTTCCTCACTGAGCACCAAACAGAAGAAGACACACCGCGGGCGTATCAGCATTACTGACCCCGAAATCGAAGGAGCGTGGTCAACGTCACACGCGTTCATCATTGGCCGTTCTCAGAGCTGACGCACTGCATCTCATTTGGAAATTTGTTTGCTCTGCTCGACAGTCAACTACAACACCTTGTCGCCATTGTATTCTGCCCGTTTGATCAGCCCTTGCTTCGGACCTACACTTCCGAATGTTTTGATCTTAGGTTACCGTTGTCAGGAACTACAAGAATTAGTGTATAAACGCAGGTGAGCATTGTGAGGCGTTGACAAATTAATACCCGTTTCACGTACCGCCGACTGACCAAAGAGAGCTACGTTGCTCGAGCTGGCCAGCCCAACAGGGTCCCACCTCAATATTCTCTTTCATTTTCTTCTCTATAGACTGTGCGTTCTGGCGCTGCAGTCACATCGGAAAGCTCGACTAATAGGTTTTTATAAGGATTATGAATGTTCACCGTCCAAATCCTTGGGGCCAATACATATATCGTCATCTCGTCGAAAAGTAGAGTGCTGGATAGTTTGTATATTGTATTGTGGACAGCTGCGACGTAATTTTTAAAGGTTGCGTCACAAAACGGAGAGCGAGGTCACGAGAGGGCAAGTAGGAGGAAGCGCAAGCCCTCCGGAACAAATTTGTCACGTTTCAATCATCTCTTGAAGGAAATCGAGTAATGTTGTTTAATGCGTGAACAAACTTAGAATTGCCATAACATGAAATCAGTATTGAGGATAATTTTTAAAAAAGTATACAATGGCGAACGTGATAGTTTTAGCATTTAATTTGTCTCGACGTCTTGATTAGGCACCAACTGGTGCCGCTCTGTCATCGGGTAGAACACAAGGTTGCCATTCTCGTGAAATATTGAGGCGGAAATGTTTTAGGTGAGGCACAGAACAGGCTAATTCATTTCTGCGGTGCGCGAGCTCACGTTTTTAACTAATCCAAGTCGTGCGAAGACCGGTATATATCGATTCTATTGGACAAAGGGGCTTTTACATCCATTCAGCGCCCTTCCTTGCCTTTAGCAGGTGACAAAATGATCGACAGCACTGCCTTTTCTCACGTCTTACCGCCAGATCAGTTTCGATGAATACCGTAAAATGTTGTGTTACCATAGACGTGCAAATGGGGGAGGGGTACGGGCAGATGATGGGGGCAAATCTTCTCCCTACTTCGACATTGTAGTAGTAGTAGTTCTAGTTTTATTACTGAAGAGACGCCTAATGCTGTGACCCAATAGTGAGTACGGCACAGCGTCAGGGAAGAAGGAAGCGGGAAATATAGAGGAAAGCTAAGAAGAGAAAGATAGTAGAAAAGTAAAACGATGAACAGCCGGGGCCTTGTCCAATTATGGGGGAGGTCAAAGGGGAAATCAAAGTCCGGCAAGTAGCGGTGGACATCGTGGAGTAGGGGTGGGCGCTCTGATTAAGCATGGCACTAACCTCCCCACATGGAGAACCCTGTGCACACTTATGATGGTGCCATCCTGATGTCGTAGTACAGGGTTGGCAGCCTTTTGAGGCCCAGGGCCAAGTTTCCTGAAGCCGACACGCCAGAGAACAAACCGCAAAGTGTGTGTGTGTGTGTGTGTGTGTGCGGGGGGGGTGATGTATGGCACTTTCTGGGAATAGTAGAAAAAAAAAACAGGCGGATTGAAAAAACGTAAAAAAAGCTGAGGAAATCTAAGTACATGGACTTCAAGCATTTCCGTTTCCAGTGAATAGGCGGCCGCCGCGGCCAGGTTTCGAACCTGCGACCTTCGTGGCATCAGTCGAGCACCATAACTATTAGACCACCACAGAAGGTTCCCACTATCGTTGTTTTAACCAAATCAATTCATACGCACTTCAAATGTGCATTTCCGGGACTCATGAGAACACTGTATGAATGTCACAACCTGTTGGATTCTGCTAACTATGAAGTGCCTGGCACATTAGTCACGCACTTTTAATCTCGTTGCTTTTATTTACAGTCATCGTGCATTGTGATGTTTCTTGATCATTGAAACAAAAATTTAATGTCGCCAAATATACCGTCTTGTATGAATCTACCTTTTTGTTTTTTCTTTGCTATTTCTGCATATTTGAGCATGCGTCTTCTGGGTGACTAGGGGGAAGCTGTGGTGAATATTCCTCAGGAATGCGAGGATACTACGAGAATAATTACAGCATGAAAGTTATGTCTTTTGATGAAGAAATGTGTGGAGATTAAATTTTCAATCCATATATAATATGCTTCACGTTTGTAGGTATAAAGGTATAAAAAGTAATTCCTATAGTGGTGGCTGAGCAAACAAACACAACAGCATGTAAGTGCTGAAGAAAGATTTATTAAAATAACGTTCTCTCCATGTATTTTTCTTGCCATAGGACATCGTAAAACAAACCAAAAATAACTTCGTTCTCATGCATGCCACAGGATAAGTGCCATTCCTCATTGCTTACATTTAGAAGAGAAAACATGAGGAAATATTGATATACGTCCAATTAATAATCAGCAAACTACACCTAACCGACACTGTATTGAGGTAAGCTTTTATGTATTCGACTGGTATCTAGCAGCACTCAGTGCCCTGCACAAAAAAAATACCTGCAACAGTGAAGAACCATCACTACCCTCGATGATCACAATTCAAACGATAAATCTGTGTGCGCAACAACGAACAAAATGTGCCAGGTATAGTGAAAGGAAACGTGCCCAAAATGCTTACAGAAGCATTCTAAAAGAGCGAAGTGTGTTGAGGATGGGAAAAGCGCGTGTACTAAGTTTTCACTCTTAAAAAAGGATTGTTCCTTGACGCACCCTTCGTGCCCAAGTCGCCACCACCCTAGTGCCATGGAGCTGTCAAAGCGAGCAACACCAATTAGTGAGTGGGCTATCGTCCTCACTGTTGTCTCAAGATGCCTATCTCGTTGTCTTCGTGTGACAGCCTTCAAGCTTTGAATGTGCCATGGCTTAAAACTAGAATGCACTAAAGGTTTCCCAAACAACTTTGTATCAGTGCTCCGAAGTGAAAGAGAGAGAGAGAGAGCTGGCGGCTTACTTAGCCCTCCCTGTCAAACGGGGCGTATCGGGTGTCTGGAGAGCGACCCGTTGAAAAGAGCAGTGAGATTAACTTGAAGCATGTCATACTTTTTGTGTCAACGTGTAGTTATCGATCCCCTAGTAATGATTCGGTACTAATAACACAGCAGAGGAACGGATAAATATTGTAGTATAGATTAACATGACCAATATTTAACCCCATTCAAAACGGGAACAAAGACCACCAATTTTCAGCGCTGCGTGGTCCCGCTCCATCTGGTCACGTGGTCGCACGAAATAGTGAGGCAAGTTTTAGGTGATATTTTGTCTGCTCAGCACGCATGCCTATATAGGCACGTCTTTTCACCCTACCCCCTCCCCACCCCCATTGTCATCGCGGCCATTGTCAGTTTCCACAAGTGATGTCAAGAGTTAAAAGAGTACGAACACTGAAGAACACGGAATCGTGGCAACTCGCGGCGTGGTAAATTATTTTTGGTTTGATCATCTTCTGAGCAGTGATTCTGAAATCGACGCCGGACCGAGCAGCCACCGGGAGCTGGAGACACTCTATAGTGCCACGCTGGCTGGTAAGACATATGAACGCTGCAGCGCGTGCGCGTTAGTTGTCCGCGATGACCGTGACTTCAAAGTATCACAATCGTGCTGACGACTCCACGACAATTCACCCGAAGCGGCACAACGAAAATGCACGAATCACACGAGCGCGCCGCACGCACCGACCAAAACAAAGGTAGAGAAGCTGTTGCTAGGGGGCCAGGCTTCGCCTCCAGATGGTACCAAATGTAGACACCACGAGCCATTGCGATAACACTAAAATTTTCGACGTCATCGCTGCTCGCATATCATCCCTCAGTGCCAGAGCCATGGCCAGAGAACACGTCGAAATTATGTTGATGTCTCATGGCCCCGAACGTGCCGCTAGACCTTTGAATGCTCTTTGCGCTCGAAATAGAATAACTTTTACGCAACAGATGTCATTTATACTGTGGTCAAAAACTGATGCGTACCAAGCAATCGAATGAATGCAACATCTGGAGATTGAAAGTTGGTGTCACTGCTCCTTTAAGAGACCGGAAGCGGGAAAGTGGGTTGCCTAGTCACCGATGGCCGAAGCCGTTGTTTCGAACAAGATAGCGAAGTCTGGCAGCCGTCTCTGGCTCATGGTTGCGGTTGCAGGCTTGCAGCTCGTAGCGGCAACAGCGGAGAAGAATGAGATGTGTGGCAGAAAGGAAAAGGCAGTGACTAAGGTGGGGAAGCAAAGGTTGAAAGTAAAGCATAAGCCGTCTTTCAACAGGGCAAGCGCTCGTGTGGGAGAAAATTTCACGTGGATCAGACTTGTCCTACTGCTATAGGTTTCATTCCAGAAGGTCTGAGCTGTTCAGTCGACAAAATAAGTTCAATGACAAGTTCAGACAACAGAGCCATACAGCGTACCCTCGCCATTATACCGATATGCATGAAACCAGGGGCCAACACGGGCCTGACTCAGACCCGAGTCTAAGCCAAGCCAGGTCCGTACCTAATCCAGCAATCCGTTACCCAGTTAGGCCCGGCAGTGGGCCGGGTGGATCCACGTTTTCGGGCCGGCCTATGCTCATGCAGTGCTCTAGCGCGGATGCGTCGTAAAAATTATCAATTCAATTGTGTTTCTCCTGCACAGTGCAATACTTTTTTGTTTAGAAGTTGATCATGTTCAAGTACACAACTATTAAAGGCCGAGTGGTCCGCACGTATCCTCGTCGTAAGCTATTACAGCACCCTCACAGCTGGCTTGAAGTTTTCTGTGCAGATGGCTGGAATGTCGCCGGCTATTGTCTTCAGGGTCCACATCGCACACACTGCGGAAAAAACGACAAAGTGAGGTAAATGAATTCAGCGATTTCAAGACTTGCGGGCCGTGAGATTGGTGCAAATAACGAATAAAGTAGCATTTTAACTCCTCTTTTGGATTCTGATAGATCAGCCAGTTTTTAAAGAAAATGTTGCGATGACGGCCGAAATACTCCCAAAGCAGCACTCCGTTAAGGGTCTCTGATGGCACGCGTTGATCAGAAGTAGCACTTTCAATTTGCCCACAGCCCTGAGAGCAGGATAATAGCAGTGAAAATAGGCAATTGTTCTGTGTCTTTACAAAATGGGTTGGTGGGTGTGAAACTTTATTGGTGTCTGGCAAGACGCAAGTTAGACTCCCACATCGGCACCACCGGGGCAAATTGAACACAAGAAATCTGGTATGTTGTTGCGCTTCTATCAGTTGGAGGCATTCGTTCTTACGCCATCTTGTACCGTCTTCCCTGAGACGAGAAAATGGTTTGATACGAGCTTAGCGGTTCAAACAAAGTGTCCGCGTTGTTGACCTGGTGATGTGTGGGAATGCTTTAATTACGCACTTATTCTGCGCACGTTTATTTATCCTCTGCGCGGAGAGGAAAACTGTTTGCCAAAGAGATGACGAGGGCAGATCATGCTACCTGGGTGAACGTATTTGAATGGGTACTTCCTGCTTTCCTTTCGCTTAATAGGCTGTAGCGTACATCTGAGTAAGAGTGTAGGTATATTGAAGCTGTAGTGGCGCATTCTTGTAAGCGGTGCTCGTTGTGGCAAACTGGTTAACAAAGTAAGTGTGCAGGGACCACCCCCTGATTGGCAGGGCTCCTACAATCAAGTGAGAATGCTCCTACCAAGGCATTTTGTGCCTTGGTCGGAGCAGGCACATCCCATTTGGTAGACGTGTGAATACATCTTCATACAGTGTGAGCAACTGCCGGGAAAAGCGCACAGTCAAAGGTTTTGAGAACTACCAGGTACAGCATAGCGTTTTTGTAGAGTTGGAGGAAAAGCCGCTTCACCACTTTACATAACCCGTTACGTGGATGGAACGAAACGCTGTGGTTAGATTGGTAATGCTGCACATTTTCGCGTAAAAGTACACACGATTCTATTGCAGAGAGTGCTGATCAGGTAAGAAGAGTGGGAACGCCCGCTAAGAGATCGTGTGATTTACGGCAACAGCTGCCACATTGCCTCCTAGCTCCATATGAGCAGGAAGTAGACTACAAGGCGGTTGGTGGGGTTCGCCTGATAGCCACTACGTGCTAACAATTGTGGGCTAGAGGGGACCTCGTAGGACACGCCGAGTTTTGATTCATAATGGTGGACAGCTAGAGCTTCTGCCTGTGCCAGTCGCCAGCCATTATCCTGTTATTTTGTTACGTTGTTTGTGGGAGGGTACTTGTGGAAGGCACACGTCTTCTCGAATAGGAGTTGGACGCTATCTTCTTTGATGTGGGTGCGCTGAATATGTAGGTGGGCTAATGTACAGTGACTCGCTACTCCCCATGGGAGTCAGGCATGGAGATTTCTGTCGTGTATCCCTCGAAGTTCCCAGTATGAAGGTGTTCACCACGCCCTGGGCTTGGTGGTTCGATGAATTCAGGTGGAGAACAAGAGCTCGCTGTACCATTCGGCGAAAGATGACCCCTCTTCTCGCTATTTAGGTGGAAGCATAAAAAATAATAGAAATAATTTACTGGCTGCATGTGCCAGCCGCCAGGCCTCCTTGCACTTTGGCCTGCCGTGCGGAACATGCGGCTGACTTAGTCTCACGCCTTGCGGTACTTGGCGAATCTTGTGTTTGATCGTTTTGTTTGCATAAAATAAGCTTCAGTACATGTGCTTCTATTTCGTTCTTAGATTACACCTGTCTACAGTGAAAGTTCAATTTTAGTGACGCACTTTTGTGAGGGGCGTATGTGCATTAATTGTGATTTGGAATGTCATCACTGAAGCCCGCACTGGTGGATCGAGTGGTCAACTACACTCGTGGCTTGTTGTATGTCTGCCTCAATGCCTACGTGTGAGTCTTGTGGGCCCTACATGCTGATTATTCAGCGTACAGTGCAGCCAGCAAAGCCAGCGGGAGCATCGTGACTTGTTTGAATGTTAAAAGAGACAACAGCGTGTGCTTGCAGCAAAAATCATTCTTGTGAACAATAGGTGGTGATGTATTAGCTGAGCAATAGAGGGAAACGCTGATCAGCGAACATGCTTATAGACACAACAATTTATATTGGCGAAAGACTACTACAGCTTCGATAATGTGAAAGGATCCACTGCAACTTGCATAGGTAAGGAGTGCATCATCGTACGAAGACGAACCTTAAAGGAACAATGCTGCGTGCTTCAATAGCAGTATGCAGCATTTCAAATATGAATTCTGAACTTCTGAATTCAGAATTCCTGAACAAAAACGTGATAGTAGAAGTCCATATATCTGAGTTACTAGCCTAAGGAAAACTAGAACTACTTTGGTTATTGAAAAAAAAACAGTCACATATCAAAACAATCGCTGTATGAACAAAAGTATGTTAAGGACATTGTGCAACAATAAAAACTTATTATATTGTTATAACTACATATTATTATGCTCGCAAAACAGCATACACATAAGGAACAAACAAAGAATAAATTTATTTGATAGAGTAATTGAGAAGAATACGTGAAGTGGCAGAGCAATTAGCGCACACACTCACTCCTTCCTGCATAATAACACTTCGAAAGCTAATTATAAGATATTACGTATGTACTTTTACAATTAGCGTTTATGCCATGGTATGAGTTGTTTGCAATTCATGACAACTAGGTTTGTTGACAGGCCTAGTAGAAAGTTCGGTCCGTTTAGGTCATTGCTAAATTTACTTCCGCAAGTTGCTTCTGGAAGAATACCAAGGCCTGTTATGCTGGCAGTAAACTTACTTGGCTTGTTATCGATGGGGAATTCCATGATGAGACAGTCCTTGTAGTCTGAGAAGAAGAAGTGGCCTTCGAACACGTGGTCATAATCTGTACAATAGTTAACAATTTCAATGAATGCGTAATCGCAACACATTTTGGAGAAGCAGAGACACGCGCAATGCGCGTTAGGTAGTATGTTGAAAGGCATTTACATCTTGATGAAGCCATCTTAAATTCACAAGTTTCATGTTGTTAGGAGCTTTGCCCACATCTTTTGCCCATTCTTTTTAAAAAGAATTAGAGTGGTGGGATACGTATTATTTACTATAACAGCCTGACAATTATAATGCCTAGTGAACAAGGCGATTGTTCAAGCGCAGGCACACCACTAATATGAGAGGCTGCCCACTGCAAGAAATGAACAGCAGGTTTGAAAATTACTTTTTGAGCTTTGTAGGTTCTCGCTGTCGAACAGTATTCCCGGACAACAGATGGCCGTGAAAGCAGATTTGTCACGGCGCCGACACCAAAGGGACTACCGTGGTTCAACCTAACTCAGTCAGGCAGACTTTTATTCCGGTCTTATCTGTTTTACCAAGTATCTGTTAAACTGGCCCTTGGGACTGACCTATGAATAGACGGACTTCGGAAGCTGGTGTTGCGAAAAACCGCTCTTGACGCAGGACTCACGACGACCGAAATATGATGAATAAAAGTTTTTTTTTTCGGGACTGCATTGCGAATCGGAGTTCTCCTAATACGAATGAGGGTGTCTTACTCTTTAGGCTATGCGTAAATGCTTGTTCAAGGTGAAGGGCACTGAAGTAGGCATTTTTCGTGTCGGTGTAATAATTGAAGTCTTCATGTATCGGAGGCTCCTGGGGGAGCCGTTTTCTTTCTTGCAATGCTTAGATTGATGCCGTTGCCCACAGGAATTACACGTCGGTCTTCATGAGGTGCGGCTGAGCAATCCCTGAAAGCTCCTTCACGAAGCGTTTGTAGTTGGCGCACAAACTACGAGCGACTCCGTAAGTTCGCCTCGCCAATGATACCTGCATTGAGCTCCCAATTTCCGCTTCCGTAGCAGTATTTCGTGGCGGCCCTCAACAATGTCAATGTCTTCAATCGCTGGCCATAAACTTTGTTAACGCGACGACGTAAAACAGCTCGTTTCGCGAAAATTCCGGAATCGGCGTGTATGTAAGCGTGGACGTTGTTGGTTGTCAGCGAAAAATCATCTTCTTCGTGACCGAAAGAAAATGAAAAATATCCAAATAAAATAAAGTAGGTTTCCCGGTCCCAGTGAGAATCAAACTCAGGCCGTCAAGGGTGACGGATCGATCGAATACTGCCGACAAATTTAGTATTGTTCAGTGCAGGTGCCTCTCCAGTGTTCTTAGAATCCCCTTGACTCTCCAAAAATCAAAATTTTATTATCGTAGGCATACACATGCACTTCAAGACCATATTTACCATCGTTGACAGTGAACTCCACTGAGTCAATTGTAGGACCAGGCTTGATGCGGTAGGTGATTTGGCGGCTGTAATAATTATCAGAAAAATTTACACGCTAAAGCGCAGTATTTTGACCCCGATACAAAAAAAAATTTGGAGAACATCTATACATTGCAAAAAAATACAAGTGAATGAATAAATATATATACTTTATTTATTTATTTATTTACTTTGCTTCGCGATGGTGGTCTAGTGGCTAAGGTTTTCGGCTGCTGACTCGCAGGTCGCGAGATTGAATCCCGGCTATGGTGGCTGCATTTTCGATGGAGGTGAAAATGCTGTAGGCCGCTGTGCTCAGATTTGGGTGCACGTTAAAGAACCCCAGGTGGTCGAATTTTCCGGAGCCTTTCACTACGGCGCCTCTTATAATCATATGGGGGTTTCGGGACGTTAAACCATACAAATCATTGATTTATTTATTTATTTATTTACGCATTTATTTACTTATTTACGCAATTATTTATTTATTCATTAATTTATTGCATACCTGCATTGCCCCATTGGGCATTACCACAGGGGAGTTACATATAAAAATATACGAAGTAAACGCACTCACAAAGCATGGCAAAATACATCGTTCTCCAAAATGTTTACAACGTCAGGCGATAGAGCATTCCATTCTCTAATGGCTCGTGTAATAAAAAAACAAAGCTTAAGACGTTACCTCTAAAAGAGAATTCGCCAACTTTTAGTGCATGGTCATGTCTCGATGAAATGTAAACGGGTAACTTGATATACTTTTCTACCTCATTGCCGATTTTAAAATTGCACACAGCGTGAAAAAATTTCAGTCTAAGGTTTTTTCGGCGATCTTGCATAACTTACCATGATAACTTACAATCGCTTTCCGCCATGCTTATTTTCTGTAGCTGTTGATCATCTAAATTCTTGATCATCTAAATCTGCACATTATTTTGAAAACCACCTAATTCTTGGCCAATCCCCTATAGTGGGTATACGCCATGGGCAACAGGTGAACGAGAGCAATTTGCTACGTCAGCACTATAGGAGCATGATCATCAAGGTGCCGAAAAGACAAGAGAGGAAGAAGACTTCTCTAGAGGGTGTGCTCGGAGTGCTACGCTAAATAGAGGATCACCCGCGTTAGTATAACTACATTAAAATGACACGCCTTGTGCCTATTTAAAAGTTATATTTACGTGGATGCGTTTGGAATTGACCAAGATGTAGGCACAGCGGAGAGACAAGCCTTCTTCTTTGTCATCTTCCGTACGCAGAATGTTTGATATGTCAGCTACGTCAAAAAAATTATGATCATCGAGGTGCGTTAAGAACAAGACGAAGAAGACGTTCGTATAAATTATAGTGTGCGCTCAAATATTTATGCTGTATGTTTTTCCCACTTTACGCCTAGATACGAGAGCAAACATCCTACGACCGAACGCAACCACCCGGTCCCATAATGTGCTCCGTGCAAAACAAACAGCCAAGTAAACGAAAGACAGTTAAGCATAGGACGAACTGAAACAAATTGACCTCAGAGATTTGAAGACCGATCTAAATAAGGTGGAAATATTCAGCTACCCCCGCTTGGCGCAAACTGAAGATAAAACGAAGCTGGTGGTGTGCGTAGTGCCTGAATGAAGTGGAATGACGTTTTCTAAGTGAAGAGGCTGAATGAAGTGGTAACAGTTGCGAGAGCAGTACTGCGCGTCCTTTTGAATTGGGGGAACAGTCAATCGTAGGAGTGATGTGAGGAGTGGTATATAATCGTAGTGTGGTTTGCTCACTTGTTTTGCGTAGTCAGCAGAATGCAGTGATAGACAGGGTTTTTTTTTTTCATGCCAACCGGAGAGATTTTACCATTCTGCAGTGAAGCTCTCTTATGCCAAATTGTGAGTATATTTTTAAACACGGCTGGCGATATTCTGTCTAGGAAAAGTGGGTGGATTGCGGGAAGCACTTTTCAAGGAGGCCAACTTTCTGCTTGCAGTATTTATCTATAGTATGCACGCTCAAAATCAACAATGCTCGAAAGCATTCTTTATACACAGCTTTGTAATGACCCTTCGCACTAATTTTTAACAAACCAAATGTTATGGATGGAGAATCATCCGTGCACGCGGTTCACAAGTTCATCAGACATTTCAAAAGTTTCACCGACTATTTCACTGAGAGCCATGTTGTCGCACTTTAGGTACATCGTAATATTCTCTACGTAGCAGTAAGCACGCGACAAGTAGGTCGGAGCTTACTTCCGATGGTATGCGGTGGCTTTAGTAGCATAGGACATACTAAACAGTACGAGGTCTCGCTTGAGCTGGTGAACGCCGCGTCTGAGTGCAGCTAAAATAAGATAGCCACTTTTCCATATGTTCATGGTGTATCACCTTGTGTGAAAAAACAACAACTGAATGCGCTGATTTTTCCGCTGCATTCAGTGCTTTCTTGAAGTTATCCGTCTCAGCGGATAAAAACGATGATAAAAGCTACGTCCTGTGACTGGAAGAAACAATGGGCGCCAGATAAACAATCACCATCGATACTACAAAAGTACACAGTGTGTCGCCTACAAAATAACACTAACCTGCGGTAAATTTCATGTCGCACAAACAAGCAAATGCTTAACTGCCGTTTGCGTGAACATAGCAACAAAGTTTGCCCAATAAACAAGAGACACTGTCTCTTCACTACAGCACGCATGACACCGCAAAACACTAACCCCATCCGATTTCGATGTGGGTCGGGCGAACCAGATTAAAGTCCGTGCGGTAATTGATTGAAGCAGTGAAGAATGATTTATTGGTACAAATTGTGTACCCGTGTGACCACTCGCTTGAAAGCAATAAGTCTAATATCTTCCCCATGCACGTGAGAGGCAGGTGTTATGTAGGCTTTGCACATAGATGTTTTATGGCCTTGCTGTTTTCTTTGCTTTCATGGGTATCTGCCTCTCCGTCAGGCCCATCATGTCGTTTATTTTCTGTCTTGGAGCATTAAATTTGCACTTACACGCGGATTTAGAGAACTATAGGCATGGGGTGCCACTTGTAATTTTCTTAGTTACGAAGCCCCGCCATGGTGGTCTAGTGGCTAAGGTACTCGGCGGCTGCATTTTCGATGGGGATGAAAAAGCTGTAGGCCCGGTTGCTCAGAGTTGGGTGCAAGTTAAAATACCCTAAGTGATAGAAATTTCTGGAGCCCTCTACTACGGCGGTTCTCATAATCATATGGTTGTTTTAGGACGTTAAACCCTACATATCAATCAATCAATCAATCAATGAAATCTTATTTAAGAAACTCTAAGTAGGGCTGAGCATATCTTGCTACTTGAGGTCATGCTTCTTTATTGGTTGTGCACATTGGGTTATGTATTGATTATTTGTGCTCGAGGAAAATTAGCTTACATTTCACCGTTGGGGCGTTTCATAAAAGTATCAAACACAACTCTGGGTGGGTCGTTGCTGTATTCTCTTCGAACTGCAACCATGCAATCAAGGTCTCCATCCCAATCAGTGTCCGCTAGAGCAACCGCATAAGGAAACGCTGCCATAGCCTGGAATATAGAAATTGAACACCGTGAAAACTCGGCATAACTTTCATTAGAATATACATTGTAGAGATACTCCAAGTAAAAACTTCTCAAATGCGTCGCCATAGATGTCTTTATAGAAGTGTAAGTCCAACAACTTTTTAGGGCGCTTAGCAAATGGTCAAGTTATTTGCTAAAACACCAACTTTTAATTCTCTCCTGTGATAGAGAGACTATTCTGTATTTCAGTCCTTAAATTGAAGTTGAAACATCGCTGTCATCAGGAAACCTTGATAAATATGTGGTGTTTAATGTCCCAAGAACACCATATGTATATGAGAGACGCCGTAGTGGAGGGCTCCGGAAATTTCGACAACCTGGGGTTCTTTAACGTGCACCCAAATCTGAGCACACGGGCCGACAACATTTCCGCCTCCATCGGAAACGCAGTCGCCGCAGCCGAGATTCGATCCTGTGACCTGAGGGTCAGCATTCGAGTACCTTGGCCACTCCACTGCACCGCGGAGGGGCCATCAGGAAACCTGATTTGACAAGGTGCTAATTAGCACAGCAACTTTCTCAGAAAAACGCAGCTTGCGTGTGATCACCTTATAGTCGTTAGTGATTCGAGTGATATAATTGACAAGCAGGTTCCAATCCACTGTAACATGATGCACAACATTATGCTGGACTAAAAAATGTTGTTGAGCATAAAAAAAATCCACCATCTGTATTTCTGTATCTGTATTGTGGGATAATTTTTAGTGTTATCGTGCAAGTACCTCCGAAAAAGCCTGTTACATCCAAGTCAAATGTATATGAGTATCAATATTTGCATTTCAAAATATGTCGCTTAGCATCGCTCAAGTTCAGCTTCAGTGTAGCTTCAGCTGTGGTCAAGTATTTCCGTAACAAGCACTTTTCTTTTAACAAGCACCAACTAACCCAACACTAAGTTTAACTGAAGTATTTGCGCCGGACATAGATTTTATTTGAGATGACTACACGACCCTTATTTCTAGAGAAAGCTTGTAAAGATTTCCAGTATCGAAAATAACACCCGTATTACATTGATAACACTACGAACACCGCAAAAAGACATTCACATGCATCGTTTTCGCTCTCAATGCATGAACTTTCTACTAGAACTGACATCTTAAGTTCAACGAAAACTGAAGTCGTTTGTCACTGTAAAACTTCAATCAATAGTACGACAAGCTACGTAATTATCTCTCGTCATTAGGGTCCGCTAAGCATTTTCTATTTTACAGCACTCACGTATTTATCCAGTAACACCATATATACACGCACGTCATGTTTTATATGACCGCAATTGCACCCGAACCTTGACCATGTCACGCGTTAGAAAGAGGTGCAATGGTTGCATTATTATGAAGGAAAGTTCTGAAAAACATGACTTTACTGCAAGGTGTCGTTTAATGAGTTCATTTAAAGCAACTTCTGCTTTTAACTGAACATGTCGTCAGCCTTGCGCCTACAGTCATACGGCCAGGTCTGCAATTGTGTACGACGCTGCTACGCTAATGAATGAAAGCTGTTGTTTCAGCTAAAGTCAGCTGAAATGCGGAGAGCACCACATTTTCAGCTGTAGTCTCGCGGTGCTCTCCGCATTTTAAATGTGGGGCATTTTCGGCATACTTCAAGCACTTTTTAAATCTATCTATCTATCTATCTATCTGTCTATCTATCTATCTATCTATCTATCTATCTATCTATCTATCTATCTATCTATCTATCTATCTATCTATCTATCTATCTATTCATCTATCTATTCATCTATCTATTCATCTATCTATCTATATATCTATCTATCTATTCATCTATTCATCTATCTATCTATCTATCTATCTATCTATCTATCTATCTGGCCACCTACGTCTAGGTGCTCTTGTGATCACCACCTTATTTGGGGGGAAGCACAATAAGTATGGGTGGGCAACATTGTTTCACGAATACGACTCATTGGTCATGACATGAATAATAGAAAGCTTTAGAATACCGTTTGCAAGCGCTGCGGGCGTTGAGGGCGTAGCGGGTGCCATATGAGTTTTAGAATAGCGTTTGCCCTGCTGTGATACGCAACGCACGATCGCAGCGACACCGCAGCCTCGAAACCAGCGCTTGCGGGCCACATGCGGGCCACCATCACCGCACGCAATTTCGTATTTTTGCGTGCGGTCTGCGAACGCGAACGCCGACTCGCGTTACGAGGCATGCGCAGTGGACAGCCATCGCACCGTAAGGGCTCGCGGTGCGCTATTCTAAAACTCCCTAATGTCACAATTCCGTAGTGTATGTCGTCAAACACTCTTCACCAAACAGTGGCAAATACCCGGGAGCGGGCATGTGCCACATGCACTTCATATCTACCCAGAAACGGCGAGAACACACATACGTAATTTTAACACATGAGTGTTAAGAAAAAGACTGGCATTGGTTGCGTTGACCCGAGCAATGTATAAAAAAAAGTCAGGGTCAAAGCAGGAACCAATGTCCAGCATCCTGCGTGCCACCAAATATTCTACCACATAGCCACGCCAGGTCTCGCAACTGCTTTTCAAATAGATCGTAGTGTTCGTGAAGCGTCCATCTAAGACGCAGTGATTGCTATCCAATTTCAATTCGATAGCGCTAAAGAGCTCGTTTTGCAGAAATTCCGGTGTCGGCGTCGGTGTTGGCGTCGCTGTTAGCATCGCTGCTTTGAGCGAAAAATCGTCTTATGCGTGACCTAAAATTGAGAACGACGTAAATAAAATAAAATTAAAGAATCATCGAGCAGAGTGGGGTCAAACAAGGGTTGCTGGGGTCTGAGTGGGATTTTAGTCTGGGTTTTTCGTGTGTAAAGCGGATGTTCCTCCACACGGCCATGCCTCTGCTTGTGAAAACAGCGAAAAAAAACTTTCTCTGCTTGGGAAATGCAGTGGAAGTACCTTTTATGCTTCCCAAACACACGCGTCCTGTATATATGCTTCACAATGCAACATGAAATATTGGAGAAATAATGCGTGGTCAAGCGTCCATTACTAACGGGCGTCAGAATATGTATTTCTCATAATGGCTTCATGGTTCAATGGCGGTACCCCACCACAAAAGGCACACACGCTACTGCACCTATTTCCTTAAGGCCACGTAGCGGGTGCATAGTAAATTCGAAAAGTTTTCATGCACTAAGTGTTTGAAGTACGCCGGATCACTATCGCACTGTGTGTCAAGTACGCAGGAAGTCACTATGACAGGATGTCGCTATTGCATTCAACTTGTAAAAGCGAAACTTTAAAGCCCCCTCATTTGCTATAATCATTACATACGTAGTCCTACAATACCGCCGTCACGTCGGGTTAAGATCAACAATAGTTAAGCTCAATGAACTGAAGGTGATTGACAGTTTCTGTCAACCAAGGAATGGGGCAAACAGACATTGGTAGATCTAATTCGAGACCGTTAAGAAAAATTCACACTATCTTTTAAAAGGGAACCCGGATGGTATGTGAAGTTACAGCGTTGCGCATGGATGGTGTGAAGGGTTGAACGGTGCTAACGTGGCTGCTGCCGTGAGCGCTAGAGGATTCGCGATCGGCGGTAGCGGCAGGTGTTGCTTGATGATTTGATTGATCTGTGGATTTTAACGTCTCAAAACCACCATATGTTTATGAGAGATGCCATAATGGAGGGCTCCGGAAATTTCGGCCACCTGGGTCTTTTTAACGTGCACCGAAATATGAGTACACAGGCTCAGAACATTTCCGCCTTCATCGGAAATGCAGCCGCCACAGCCGAGATTTGATCCGACGACCTGCGGGTCAGCAGCCGAGTACCTTAGCCACTAGACCACCGCGGCGGAACAGGCAGGTGTTGCGGGCAAACGGACGAGGTAGCAGCTGCTGGCGCTGTGGAGAGCGCGCGGCAGGCGACAGAGAGAGTGACGTCAGCGCACTCTGACGGGAGCGTGACGTCAACGCGCAGCTGCGGCGCGACCTACATGGTACCGCTCCAACACCTGAGACAAGCGAGCGCGGTGCGGCACGTTTGTACGAACGCATGGAGGTACAGTGTTTTATACGCTAGTCAAAGAGCTGCTTCACATCTAAATTCAGGGCATCTCCACGAAGTTAATGACTATGAGTGAGCGAAACTATAGGTCCTAAGGTTCGTAATGTCTATGTTGAAATCGCCGACTGGTATGAAGCACGGACACCCGCGCATGGGTGCACAGGTGGGCGTGTCCACGGATGCACTGACGATAGCAGGCATGCACGGGCGGATGGATGAACAGATTTTGGACGAATGATGGATGAATGGATGGACGTACGGACAGATGAACGGTGCGAGTGATCATGTATTGGCTGTCGTATAGTTGAAGTCGCGTGTGTACGCATATGTTTTCGTTTTTTTTGTGTTGCTGTGCATGGTTTTGTGGGGCACGATGGACACTAACAAGGTCATCGCTGAGGATCTTCGCCCCTAAATGCTGGCATCGGCAGCCTTGACCCATGGAACGCATAGACGAAATTTCAAAAAGTCTTACCCCGGCATTCTGCGGCATTCCGCGTCACAGCCAAGTATATTACCTCACTGCTACGCCAGGTCTCGGAACCGCTTTTGAAGTAGAGCGTAATGTCTGTGAAACGTCAATTGTGGTTGCAGTGCTGGATATCCAATCTTATAAACATTACATATGAACTCCTATCATACAGCTGTCACGTCAGGTTAACTACGAATCTGGTGAAGCACCATACACTGAAGCTCTTTTATTTAGCAGTGTCCACGGGCGCCATCCTCGCTGGCACAAGCGGCACATATCAGCTTACTGATTCTGATTTTGCTAATACCTATGTTGGTGCTGGCGTCGTTACGCAACGATAACTATGCAACTGTTTAACATATACCTGTGCGCACAACATTGCGCACAGGTGTTGACGCTACCTTTGGTGCCATTTCGTAGCGTTTCTTTCAATAAAAAAATTACAACATGCCTCCGCATACCTTGCCTCCGCATGCTTCGCATAACATAGATTCTCTAGGTAGGTGTGATCTGCCGAATTTCAGGACATATTTACACTTTTTCGCGGACAGAAGAAGGTGCAGCGCCCACACGTGTGCCCTTTGGACCCCGTTTCTTAAGGTATTTTCCCGCTAAGCACTAAAAGTACGTAGAACAAGTAAGCGCACGTAGAAGTGCGCCCACGATAGGCCAGCTTCCACCACGCCATGTCAGCGTAACGAAGAGAAACGATGAACATGATTGTCGAATTTGCTTTAGCGGGTATAAATGCTTGTCCCATCCTATAAATTGCAAAAGCATTTGAATACCTTGAATGCGTCAACGACATCGTCCTTCGACTGATGATCTGCTGCGAGGCCTAGAAGTATGAAGAAAAGTTTGAATGCTAATATCTGGACGAGTATAGTTCGTGAAAACGCTGCCATTTCACTACCCAGTAACACGGAGAGAACTTGGTGCCTCAATGTTCCGAGTCACGGAGTTTGTCTGTGAAAGCTGGAAGCAGCTATTTGAACTCTTGTTCGTCAAATTCCAACTGATTTTACCTTTGACAATCCAATTATTGTCTTACATTTTCCCGTGATGTGCTGTTGTTTAAAAAATGAAAACGTTTCACGCAGGCACATGTGGGTTGTATGAATTTCTCCTTCCTCCCCCACCCCTTCTTTTGCCCAACTGATTAATGGTCCACACTTGTACAAAATGAGGCAGGACGTAAAATGGAATATTTTGCCGCCGTTGTCATGCAACACCTGTAATTTGGGGCTCAGAGTGACGGTCTCGGGTGTCTAATTATAGGTTGAGTGTCATGCACCGTCACAAGCCTATTAATGTGAAGAGTCTCTTTTGTAGCACACCTCGAGTCATGCTACCATTGTTCTTTTCCTTAGGCCGACTCCACCATTCCGAGGCATTCACTGCTGTTAGAGAATATTTAAATTTTAAATAGAAAGAAATAAAATAATTACCGCAATAAAACCTTTGAAATCAAAGTTGCGACTAGAAAGGCATTAGCAAATGTGCACATGTGTTATAAATGCATCTCCAACCGTATTGAAACACGAATGCACCTTCGATCTCATTTCGCATTAGGGAATCCAGATATCGTCGGCAATTTGAGAATTTGTTTGTTTTTTTTGGTTATGCGATATTTAGGTATTTTACTGCAAGAACTATCCGTCATTCAAAGTCTTCAAGTTACTCGCAACATTGCTTGGAGCCGCGAAAATAAAATAACTGTCTCTACCACTTGTCATTAATTTATTTTGTGGTCACCTCTTTTTTTCCTAGCACGGCCCTATTTCACTATGCTATATATAACACCTGGTATAAGCGCACGCAGAAGCAACAATTGCATGATACTCAAAATTGAGCATGAATAGTTATCGATTACTTCATTCATGCGTGAATAAAGTTTTTTTTTTCGTCGCCCTAGATGAGTGACGAGTTAGCGGAGGGTTCCGAAAATTTCGACCCCCTAGAGATCTTCACCGCGCACCTGGGTCTGAACAAATGGGCCTCTATCATTTTGCTTTCCCTGACACGTGGTGTCCTGGATTGCGATTATACTTCACGACCTTCGGCTTGGCAGTCGAGCACGACATACAGTAGACCACCACTGCGAAATAAGAATCGGCGTAGTAGCAGCATCTCTGTGGTGCAGTGGCACAGCGTAGCAATTGAAAAAAAAATCCACATAGAACAGCTTGATCCACAGAAAGCTCTCTTTACAGAAGACGTGAGTTAATTTGAAGGTTTAGTCTCGCATGATTTCGTCGTTGAATTAGACTGTGTTATTTACTTTTTGCATAGATGCAACTAAAGTACTCGGAGCCCAACGTTGCTATCGAGCCGACTTTACGTGCAAAAAAAAAAACCTGCGGTTTAGCAATTATCACTATTATTCTGGTTTTTCGGTAGATGTGTACATATCTATAACCATTCTGTATCTTTTTGGAACCACTTTTGTAAGAGCCTGTTCAGGCGCACCGTATCAATAAATAAAATGAATAAATTGGTTTTCGAAGATCTGAGAATACAGCGTATTAAAAACCAACTCCGGCTATTTTTTGGCCATGTGAAGATTATGGTGTTTCTATATTCCTGAGACACTCTTGTCGCGAGCCTAATAGCTGAAATGCTCAAAAAATTTGAAAATAATTTTTAATAAGCAAAAATGTGCAATACCAAAACTGAAACCCAAACGAGCTCCCTGTCTGCGTATGGCGTACTATTTAGTAGAGCCGGAGGCCATAGAGTTTCTTAAAATCAACTAGAAGGCACTCTGGCGCTGCGATCATTCAGCGACTATGGGAATGATGGGTAGCACACGCATTTGCCTAGTCTGCGTACTTGCACGCGGTGAATCGTACTTGCGGCTTCGTTTATTGCTGTGTTTCGGTTTTGTTTTGAAAAAAAGATTGAACCCTTTTGAACTTCGTTAGCCGATTTGAAAAGTAAGTCTAAAAAAATGAAATGGTGAAGCGCAACCGCTGAACATTTGCTAATACTTGTTTCGTAAGAAAACAGCTCCAAGCCACACGATCACACACACTGCCAAAAGCAGGCCAAGAGTACGAATATTAGACAATTGTGTGTACTACCCATCATTCCCATGCTCGCTGAAGCACCGTGCGTTGCAGCTCCCATAGACACTAGCACCAGAGTTCCCTCTAGTGTATATTAGGAAGCTGTATGCCGGGGGCCGTGTACTGGTTCCGCCGGCGCGCAGTATGAAAACTGTGAAAGCCAGTCCAGCGAAGCACCGTCCAAATACCACAAAGGAAGGAAGAAAGCATTCTCGTGCTATACCCGTGCCAAACAACACCGCCGTCCCCTTGTGGAAAGCACAATAAACGCTGTAGCGGCCAAAGTAGCGATGCCATCGGCTGCGTCACTTCCGTTGACATGCCAAACATGACGTCACACAAACAGTGTTGCCAATAATTTTGGCAAGTGAGGTGAGCTTTTCGAGGCAATCTTTAAAATTCATTTGCAACTGATCAGTGCATCGCTAAAACCTGTGATTTGGCATGAAGTTCTAAACTGTGCAAAGGAACATACCCAGCGAACTTCATTGAGATTCATTGACCTCGAAAAATTGCCGGAGTTGGCTTTTAAGGTTTTAGGGCGTACCGAACGTAACCAAAGTAATACACTAAAAAGTTAACAAATATTTTTGCGACCATGCGAAACCTATGATGACCGGGAGTATGAAAAAGTGAAGATGCTAGTCAAAACCAGAAGAACATATTTTGCGATTGTGGCGAAATAATACTCGTGGACATCTTCCACTGAATTAAGCACAGTCATTCAAACGTGCCCGTAAGTCTTCGATGCCTTGGACGTCAATGTCAACGAACAGATCACCTTCAAATGAATGCACTTGCTGCTCCATTATTCTCGCGATTCATCCAAGCACCATCAAACATCATATTCATTTTCAAGAAAAGTTCACTTTTTTTCATAAAACTCTCGCGTAATGTGCGAGTGGTTCTTTACCTTACTTAAAACACAGAACCTCGAAATTATGTAGAAAGTCAAACTTTGGCAAGCTATGCAATGCTTTTAAATAAAACAGAAAATGAGTCTTGCAGCATTTTTTTAAAGACCCGTAAGCATGAAGGATGACGCCATGTACCACTCTACAGCACTGTGAGCGTCTAGGCGTGACACGGTGCGTTCAGGACTCTGTTAGGTGAGTGAGACCAGCGACATTGTGAAGCATAATACATTAACACCTTGTAGCCGTACACTTCAAATAGTGCGTGCCTCTCGCACTTATGAATATGAGTGTTTTGCATTTTACCGGATTGCAAAAGGCAGCGCGAAACAAAAGTGCTTCTGGTGTAGCCGTAAATTCGATCCCGGAGCTGCTGATCCCATACGACGTTTCTAATACAGTGATACAGAACGGGAACATCTGAGAAAAAAAAACGAGCGCCAGCATTGCTTGCATGATGAACAAAAAAAGTTTTACATGTTTTTTGTAAAATATGGATTGATGGTGTTCTAGTTGACGTAAATTTTGATGAGGAATACTCACGAAAGCGGTATCCCGATACAAGTTCAGTTTTTCGTCAGTGCCTGGCCTTTGTGGGTGGAGGTTGCTATATACAATTTTGTATGTTTTATCAAATTATAGTTGATTTTTTGCATTGCAAGCAGGCCTGCTGGGCACCCCTGCTCAGATGTTCAAAGCACACTGCTACATTGAATTAATTTATTGAAGCATATCACAGGTTCCAATTAGACCACTATGTGACGGAGATTCTGCTCTAAAGTTCAAACACCACGGATCCTGTGTTATTGAACGCGCAGACAGCAAGTTGTGTGGTTGCAAAACACAAATGTTTCAACACACTGAACTTTTCCTATCGGTATTTATCAGGCATCTCTCTTATTAGGCACCAACTTTTCTAGGAGAGATGTGAACACAGGTGTGATTTGTCAAAATGGCTGATTGGGCAAGTTGGTGATTCATGATGCTTCAATTTGAAATACCAGCGCAACACGTGGACCGAGACAGCTAAAACTGCTAAGCTAACCGTTCACCCGTGTCTTAACAACAAAAGTCGCTCAGTTTCTCGTTCATTCTCGTGGAGATGATTGGCAACGCTGTTGGTAATCTCTACTTTACCTTTTTGTTTTCTTTTATTCTAAAAAATTATCGTTTGACGGTGGTGGTATCCATTTTTTTTTTCAATTCCATATCCTGCAGTACATAGGCGCAGTAGGCAGGGCATTGTTTGTTACTTTATTTTGGTCACATTAAAACTAAATTTTACCCACACCAACCTTTCTGTCCCCGTCTACGTATCGCGATCTAATTTCAAACCACCAGGTATGGTGTTTGGGAGCGGTTTGCTATACTAATAATTCATTTCTTTATCAATTGACACTTTACCTACATCATCGTAAGCTATTGCATTGGAGGATCGATAAATAGGTCATTTTATAACGCTATTATCAATCGATGGCACAGACACAACTACGTGCAAAATACTTCAAGGAAAAAGAATAAATTGAGACAAACTGAATTACGCAACTTATAAACAACAACACAAACACATTACAACGTTTCTAGATTACAGACCATTCCCTTCAGTGGCAATAACGTGGCCTCTGTTAAAGAGGAAAAAAACATTTTCAATGCCAGTTTCATTGACGATATCACCCTGTAGTAAAATATTTGACATGAGACATGCCCCCAACCAGAAAATTTCTACACTTTATGGCTGCTGCTAGTGAAATTATGTTCCGAGTTCATTAGCGGCTGTCAGAAAAAGCATAATAGACTTCACGCTGTGTCTGCAGGACTTCATATTTAAAATTTCTAGGCTAGGTAAATCCTGCAGTGCTTACGCGTAGCGTCTTGTTAATAGATGGGCTGAAAGCGGCTGCAGTTTAAAAAAAAAAAGTTTTGCATTTTACACCATCCGACGCACTGTTTTCCACAATGCTGATGT